CTACTCTACCTCTGAAGAACATGAAAACAGTAATTTGAAAAACATACATACCCCAATGTTCATTGCAGCATGATTTATAATAGCTAAGGTATGGGAACAACCTGAGTGTCTATTGATGGATGAATGCATCAGGATGATGTGGTTTATTTATACAATGGAATACTACTTGGCCCTAAAAAAGAATGAAATCCTGCCATTTGCAGCAACATGGATGGACCTAGAAGGTATTTTATTCTGTGAAATAAATCAGGCAAAGAAAGACAAATACCTTATGATTTTACTCATATAATAAAAGAACAAACAAAATAAAACAAACTCATCGATACAGAGATTAGATTGGTGGTTTCTAGCAGGAAAGGGGACTATGGGATGGGTGAAATGGGTGAATGGGGTAACTGTATGGTGATGGATTGTAACTGGACTTTTGATGATGATCACTTTGTAGTGTAGAAGATGTCACACTTTGATGCTGTACACCTGAAACTTACATAATAAAAAGTTAATGTTCTTATATTTGTTGTTTTTTATTTTTTAATCTTAGATGTATTCTTTTGTATTTTATTTTTGGACATTTTATATAATCATTTGTATTTATTCAATAATTAATACAACTTAAAAAAATTTTTAAATGTCATTATCAGACATTTTTAAGAATATTATTCTATTTAGTAATAAGTAGACGTTCTGGGAAAAACTCTAAGGAGAGACAAAAAGTTATTAATCGCTATCTCTGAAGAGTGAAAATAAAGGAAATTAAAATTTTTGTGCTTTTCTTATTTTCCAAATTTTATACAATGAACACATTATTTTTATAATCAAGAAGGCAGAATTGTATTGAAATACATGTAAATATGATAGAAAAAAGGAAATGAATGCTGTAACAAAAGACAAAAGTTCATAAGGACCCAGAAGGTAGTAAGATTTTCAGCCACAACTGTATCTTTGGCAGGGCCTGTACATTCTCTCTCCTGGGAGCATTCTTCTCTTTGAACCATATGCAATCCTACTTCTTCTTTAGGGCTCAGCTTTAATGTCACCTAGAGAAGCCTTCTGTGCCATTTAGACTAAGTTAGTAACCTTCTTACATGCTCTCATTATGCTTGACATTTAAAGTATTTTTTAAAATGAGGTGTATTTGACATAACATTTTATTAGTTTCTGGTGCACAGCACAATAATTTAGTAAGTCTAGTTAACATCCATCACCATACATAGTCACAAATTTTTTTTCTTGTGATAAGAACTTTAAAGATTTACTTGTAGTAACCTTCAAATTTTCAAAACATTATTGTTAACTATAGTCACCATGCTGTACATTACATCCCCATGACTTGTTTATTTTATAAGTGACAATTTGTACCTTTTGACCTCCTTCACCCATTTCACCCACCCTCCCCTTCACCCTCCTGACTCTGGCAATCAATATGTTCTGTGTATCTGTGAGCTTGTGTTTTGTTTGTTTTTAAGATTCTGCATATACGTGAGGTCTTATGGTATTTGTCTTTCTCTTACTTCACTTAGCATAATGCCCACAAGGTCGGTTTCAAGTTGTCACAAAAGGCAGGACTTCATTCTTCTGATGTTTGACTAGTATTCCATTGTGTATACATACCACTTCATCTTTATCCATTTATCTGTAGATGGACACTCAGATTGTTTCTATATCTTGGCTATTGGAAGTAATGCTGCAGTGAACATGATATAATGGTACACAGATCTTTTCAAATTAGTGTTTCTGTGTTCTTTGGATAAGTACCCAGAAGCAGAATTGCTGGATCATATGGTATTTCTATTTTAAAGTTTTTGAGAAACCTCCATACTGTTTTCCACGGTGAATGCACAATTTACATTCCTACCAGTGGTGCACAAGTGTTCCCTGTTCTCCACACTTATTATTGCCAACACTTATTATTTCTTTCTTTTTGATAAAAGCCATTCTAATTTGAAACAATAATAAACTTTTACAGAAAACTGTTAGTACAGGGAATTTTCTTCTTGAACCATTTGGGAGTAAGTTGCAGACCTGATGCCTCACTAGCCCTAAATACTTAAGTGTGTATTTCCTGTAGTAAAAGTGTTTTCTCACATCATCTATATAACCATTAAAATCAAGAAATTATTAAATATGAAAATGATATATGAAAATGAAATAAATGTGAAATAAATATGAAATAAATATATGTATATTCTTGTATGACTGAAGCATTGTGCTGTACACCAGAAATTGACACATTGTAAACTGACTATACTTCAAAAAAAAACTAATAATGATAATAGTACTACCACTTAATACTCAAGAGTTTAACTAGTTGTCCCCACAGTGTCCTTTTTAATAGCAAAAGGATCTTGTTCAGAATTATATGTTGCATTTAATCATCATGTCTCTTTAATTCTGGAACAAATCTTACATCCTTTTAATTTTTTTAACTTTTGTGACTTTAACACTTTTGAAGATATTATGCCACTTATTTTGTAGGATGTCCCTAAATTTGGATATGTTTGACGTTTCCTCATAAGTAGGTTCAGATTATACATGTTTGGTGGGAATACACCAGAAATGATACTGTGTTCTCAGTGCATCCTAACAGGCAGTGCACAATGTCAATTTATGTCTTTACTGATGTTCACGATCACTTGATGTGGTGTCTGCTAGGCTTCTCCACTGTGAAGTTACTTTCTTCTTTGGAATTAATTAGTATTTTGTAGGGAGTGCCTCGAAATTACATGAATATCTTATTTCTCCTTAAACTTTAAATATATTTTTACTTTATTTAATCCCTATAAGCTCAGGCCCTGTATTATTCAGTGTTATCAATCCATTAGTATCATTATTTATTTTGATGTTTAAATTGTCCCTGGTGTGGCCAGTGGGACCCCTTGCAAGCTGGCTTCTCTGTATTTGTGATATGTCCCTGTCAGTATTTGAACATTTCCTTTCTTTCTGGCACAACAGATCTTCCAGGCTGTTATTATACTTTCCTTTCCTCAGCACTGTAATGAGCCAATTCTCTAAGGCGCTTGGTTCCTTTTAGAGGACAGTGGTACCTAGAAGCCAAAGTGTGCTTTGTGCACTCATTGCTATTGGAGTGTCATTGCTCCTGGGCACTGTCAGTGGGCAGAGCTTAGGGAATGTGTGTATGTAGGTATGTACAACACATTTACATCCACATTCATTTCTGTTTCTATCTCTGTATTGCAAACCATGAGTTCACACTTGTACCTGAAATTCTAATCTACCACCACATGGTTCATTTTATATTTGTACTTATCATATAGTGGGAAAGCTGGGGCTCCCATGTCTTTATTTACTTAATCACTTGTATGCAGACAGTTTTCTGTGTCTGTGGCCATTCTCTTCCCTGTGTGGATACCCTTCTCACCTCATGCAGGTCCTGGCACACTATGTTGGGCTGCCCCCTCTGTGGATTTCCTCCTATCTTTGTTCAGCCACTAACACCCAACATGGGTTATTGCCCCTAAGGATGTCCTTCTCACCGTCCTGGAGCTCTGACACGTCATGTCAGAATGACTCTCCATACGGACACCTTCCTCATCCAGCTTAGACTCTGGCAGCCCATGTAGGGTAGGTCTCCTCATGCGGATGCCCTTCTTGTTCTGCTTCGGTTTTAGAAGCCCCACTCTGGGCCAGATGCAGTAGGTCAGACCTGTGCACAGAATTCAGGGCCCCTTATTATCTTCATAATTCTGTGCTAGAGTTGTAATATTTGGATGCATGGAATTCTGGACTATTATAATAGAGGACACTGTGTACATAATGCTTATGGTTCTCAGCTTAAAAAAAATCTTTTTATTGAAGTATTGAAAATTGTAAAGATTATAAGGGTATGTTTTGAACTATCAAAAAGTGAATACAGCCATAAAAATCATCACCTGGGTCAAGAAATAAAATATTATCACTACCCTAGGAGCTCTACTCATGATCTTTCCTCAGCACTCCTCATTAGATATTTTCAATATAAACAACAGAAATAAACTGCATTCTTTAAATTACATGTCCCAATTAGTAGCACGATGAATAAAATAGAACTTCAGTAAGAACATGTGATTGACTGTTTTGAAAAACTGTATTTGAAAAGTTAATTATAGGTGTAATACTTTTGGGGGAAAGTTTCATCTTTCAGTTTGAGAAAGTTTGGAGCAGTCAGTCACTAGGGGGCAGCCTGTACTGCTTTCACTTCTTTAGAAATAGTTGTGTCCTTTTGTTAGTAACTAGAATTATTTTGTATGGAAGGAAACAATTGTTACTTCAAAGAAAAATATTTCACTATTCGCAGAGAGGAAGAAAACAGACACAATTATTTTGTACTCTTATAATTAAATTGCAAGAGTAGATTCCATGGTTAAATCACTGTCAGCACCTAGGAAGCCTAGCTTTGCTTTTGTAACCCCAGCAGAGCATCCGAATTTGAATGGATTTGGAAGGTTTTTTGGGTCCAAACAAGCTTCAGATAATTTATCCATACCTTCCTCTAATACTTTCTTTTCCACAGATTTCCCTCAAATATTATACTAGACTCTAGCTAAATCAGAGAAAAGAAAGCCACAGCTCAGAATCCAACACTTAGGACATTTTCTTCTATCCATTGATTTCATTTGGCAGTGCTTAGTGGTAGTTTCTTTTAGTAGCATCCTGTGAAAAAATCAGAGGAAGTGTGAAAGAGAAAATTGGTCTTCCTTGATTTCAGTTCTTTACCACTCCTTTCCTCATGCCATTCTAGTTTTGTGGAAATGTTTTCTAATTAGATTGATAAACTTTCCGGTTTCTGCATAGAATAAATGAACCCATGTCCAGATACTTTTGAACTATTTTATTTCCAGTGACATAAAGAGACTGTTTCTGTCCTTCTCCCCGCCCTACTCACCCCTACCCACTCTGATTTTGCTAAGAAGCCAAATCACACACCCCAAATATAGTGTGACTTGGCTTCTTAGTCTCCATAACTTTTACCATAATCTAACGTTATTTCTTCCTTTCTCTAGATAGAGACATCGGAATCTACCAGTATTATGACAAAAAAGATCCACCAGGTAAAGTATCTGCTCTGCTAAACTGATTTTTATAAACTAAATATTCTAAACTATAAAATACTGACCATTAAAAAGTGTTTTTATGGGCTTTAGATAAATTCTAGAATTTCAAGAAAGGTCACTCCAGTTCTTTAGAAAAATGCTGAGGCTGATATCTGTTCCATAAGAAATAAAGCAATGTTAGAAAATGCTACAGCAAAACATGAAAATTTTCATCTTATTGCTGATTAGACTGATAACTGGACAGTCTACTCACATTTATTTATCAGTGTCCCAGTAGAGGGCATTGTTAATGCATGTGTCCCCCTGATGCAGGAGGCCTCCCGGAGCCTCACCTGATATCTGAAATAGGCATTTCTGAGTGAATGATCAATTTTCTTTATCTGATTAATCCTGTTAATCCCAGAAGTTTCATGATGGGCCAAAAGGTCTTTCTAGCTAGAGTTCCTTCCTGTTTTGGTCTCTGTTGAAGTGGGGCTTGTGTGGGCATCCTGTGTGCTTAGCTAGGTGGTTAATAGGCTGACTTCATGGTTCTGATGACAGACTGAAGCAGCTTCTGTTCTGGGCTCCATTGCAGTTCCCTTTGCTATCTGATGAGATTGCAGACTCAGGATATTGGCCCACCTGTTGTGCTATGTAAGCCTTTCCTCTGCAAATTTAGGAAATACCTCTATGAAATGAAAATATCCAAATTATGGCATTTTCAACTAACTTTTAAAAAGTTTAGCACAGTTTATTAGTGTCAATAGGTATATAATAATTATATGTGTGCATGTAAATATATAAAATATTATAAAAATCCACTTTTTTTTCCTTTTTTCCATCTCCCTTCTGCCACAGTATCAGCAACAGAGCATGGTAACTTAGAAGAAAAGCAGAAGCTGGCAGAATGTAAGCTTACTTTATATTTTATTGGAATTATTATAAAACTGGAATTTTAATATCCCTGAGTTAGTCTTTAAAAATATTTTAAGCTTTCTGCACAAATAGGAAATTTTATTCCTTCCAAATTTCTTATGAAGTTACATTGTTTAGGTGAACTAACATATGAGTAAGAATTATGTTGTTAGACATTTCTAATTTAGACTGTTGAAATCTGTCCACTTTTGGTGAGATATATGCGCATGTAAACAAACTTTTTTAATGAACCGTATTTATATTATTTAATATATTTAAAATAAGTGTACCATGCTCAAATTCTGATAACATTTTATTATCCATATTATGCTAAATTATTATGTTTTATTCATTTTAACAAAATAAGATCTGTAATGATCAGTATTAGCATTTTATTCTTTCCAGTCTTTTCTGTTCTTAGATATATAAATGTTATATATGTAATATGACTACATATTATAGTGTAATATAATTAAAGTGACTTTATTTGGAATATAGGTAGAACTGAAAATCCAACTTGATCTCATTTTAATTGGTCAAGCCAAATTTAATTTTTAAAAATACTGTATGAATAGCTGCAACATAGATTTAAATTTTTTCATATTTTCTACACATCATAAACTATACAGACTATAAATTTGCTTAAATAAGATACACAGCAGATCTACTGTAAAATTTAAATGTTTGTATATACTGTATATTATATGTATACATATGCAAAGCACACATATTTACACATTTAGAATTATTATTTAGGAGAATTCAAAGATGAATTCATTCTTGTAATTAGATATTATAATGAATTTAACATTTTGTTAATTCTTTTAAACAGAACTATTTTTAGTTTGTCTTAGGCTAACACTGAGACTCTACTAAATAATTTTATCTTTTAATTTAAAGCAGAACAAAGGCTTATTATTGAATTGTGGTATAGATTTTAAAGAGAATTACTTTAAATGAAAAAGAGTGCTATTATCATCTCATTTATTAAAACTTGGATTTCTTTCCATTTTTTCCTTAGTTTTAATATGTGATGCTTTGATGCTTAATTTTAAATTTATTTTCTGTGTTCTTTTTTGTATTTTATTTCTTTCCTCACTATTTTCATTTACTCAAAGGAATTCTCAGGTTTTCAGAAAACTGCTAGCAGAATTTGGAATTTCTTTTAGGTTGAACCTTTTTTTATGGAAAGATGTTAGTTCTGTGGTAAAGAATGGGTCGTTTACTGTTAAGTACTAGATTCACAGGCCTAGGAAACTTTCCCAGGGATTCTCTGAGCCTTGTTAGTTGTCATCATAAAATTATGATCAGGGAGATTGTTTGGTAAAAATCCTGTTTCTATGACAAAGCCTTTCAAAAGACTGTCATTTGATGATAGAAATGAAGCCCACTTCCTTTGAATTAAGGAGGTATTTTATTTTAATCTTCCTAAGACACATTGCTAAGCAAAGTTTCCTTTTTAAGTCATGTTTAACTAACTGTAGTACATGTTTTGTTTGCCAGCACGAGATTTTCCATGGACGCTCAAAAACAGACGCCCAGAAAAACTTCGAGACTCACTCAAGGAGTTGGAGGTATCTTTCCAAAAGTTTCAAAAATGGCAACAAACAAATCTGTTTTAAAACATCTTTCAGCAGCTTTAATTTTTATAAAGGATCAACTCCCCTGGTGATGATAGCTTTGCTTTTGTCCGGTGAGGAGTTCCAAAACAGTTGCATCTTTGTGTAGCATGCTGATCTGTGGGGTTTTTTTTTGTTTTTTTGTTTTTTTGTTTTTTTTTGCTTGCAAATCAGAAGCACTTTAACTGATAACGACAATGTGTATAGCCAACTGCACTCTCTCTTTTTCTGTTTCCTTCAGGAGCTGATGCAAAACAGTCAGTGTGTGCTGAGCAAATGGAAGAACAAATATGTCTGTCAGGTAAAAAGGTTTGACATGCTTTCGCAGTGTTTAACCAGTGGAGCTGAAAACTATGCAGTAATTGGTATTCTTGTGTTATGATAGGTAATGGACAAAAACTTTTTAGGAGTGGATATTTCATAGTTTGGATTCTAGTCATTCTAGAACTAACATTAGACAGATTTACTCAGGCCACCAGGCTACCTCATTAATCAGTATAGTTGTACTGACACTATAAACACTAATAAAAGTCTTTTCAGATGGCATTTTTTGTTTGTCATAGATTCAATTAGATTTTTGAATGAGGATGAAACCATGGGACCATGGGAAAAACCAGTGGTTTTTTGACCACTCTTGAAAGCATTTGTTAGCACCATGCTTATGGAAATCAACAAGCAGACTAGAGTTTGACCTAACATAACAAGACATTTGCTCATACTTTTTGAACCCTCTAAGCTGTGCTTTTTAATATTGTAGCCAGTAGTCACTTGTGGCTATTTAAATGTAAATTTAAACTAATTAAAATTAAAAATTCACTTCCTTAGTTGTCCTACACACATTTTAAGTGCTCAGCCATATGTTACCATATGGGCAATATAGATACAGAATATTTCAATCACAGAAAAAATTCTACTGGATAGCACTGTTAGAGACTGGACCAGGTGAGCTGCATGTTGAATGGATCTAAATTCAGGACATAATAATCACTTGTCCATTGATCATAAGATAATGGACAAACACTTCAGCTTTGTCGATAGCCTTAAAAAACTATTTGCCTAGAAAAATTTTACTTGCTTGTGGTAAAAAGAATGGTTAGTCATATTATACTCATACATGTAATTGAAGTTACATCAGAATGTATCAGTTTAAATTCTTACTTGTTTATAATGTGATTTACATATTTTAGGTCTGACTACTCTTGTTTGAAGTTTAGACCTGTGGCTCTATCCGTAAATCTATAATACTGAATTTGTAGTAATTGCAAACTTATCTTAATCTACTATTTGATTAATGACTCTCATTTTAGTGGCTTCTAGTTTTTCCTCATTTTTTGCTTAAACTAGTCTACTTTACTCATAAAGGTAACTATTTAGTTACCGCCTCAACTGTCATAATTATTACTTTCCAGAGACTTTTTACAAGGCTGAATTAATATTTTTAGAACTGTAATACTTCCTAAATTTGACTCAGAATATTATTGAAATGGATAGGGTTATTTAAAAAAATCATAATTTGTTTCCATAAAAGTTTTAATCAAACTTTGAAACTTGAATATAAAATATGCCCCAGAAAATTTTAAACTTAGTACAACTCATTGTACTTCTCAATGCCATTACTCACTTTAAAAGCAAGTTTAAAATTATTTGACTGGAGGGCAAGCCTATGACCTATAGTAAGAGGTGTGTCTCATGGCCTCCACCCTTACCATTGCACAGGGTAAGTTGGAACATGTCAGCTATCTTAAAATATGCAGTGAAGCATCCCAGTAGGCAATCCTTTTAAAACAGACTTTATTGCATTTTAATTTAATAAGCAGGTTTGTATGTACGTGTGTATGGGAAAGTATGAAGAGCGATGTCCCTCACTATAGAATTAATTCAACTCAGAAAAGAAATATGCATGATCAAATATATACAAAATGACTTTCATAATTTACAGCAACCTGATAATACTGGTTTCTTAGGCTGCTGTACCAGTGAGTCTGCTTTTAACATTTCCAGTGGAATTTATCTTTATATTCTGTCATATTTTGTACTTTATTCCTACAATGAATAAGATATTCCAAAAACAGACCTTTTACCACTAGCACATTCTTGATGTGATATGTTAAAACAGGATAACTTGACCTCCACCCTGCCCACTGGTCCAGGTTAGTCCCCGCATCTTTGGGGTCTTTGAGAGACCTCCTAACATTATCCATCCACTTTCTCAGTTTCTAGAGAGGACTGTTGGCTAGGTCTTCTAAAAATATGTGTATGTGTGTTATTCCTAAAGATCTCTAATATGACAGTAAATTTAAAATTTGGCACTCATCCAAGATTTCAGAAGGATCTCCTTAACCTTTTGTTAGTTGCAAAATAAACAGTCTCCACAGGCTCCCCCAGGATCCCCGTTCTGGGCATCTTCCAGTGTGATGGCTCCAAAGATAACATGTCGCTTAATTTCTATTAGTAATTTCCCCCACATATTTAACCCCAAAATAGCAGCAGTTGACCCCAGCATAATGTTCTCTAACTCTTAGAAAAGAAGTGAGAAAAGTTCCTGAATATCTTGGTGTTAACATAGTTGGATTCGTTTGTTTTTCACTGTGGCCACTCCTTAATTAATATAAGTTTTTACTCCCTCTGCCACCTCCAAAACAGGGTGAATTTAGGATTTATGGAATTTATCTTGATTTTCTTCTTTTTAGAGGATTCTTATTTCTTCCAGAGGCTCAGTTGTTTAGGAATTAGCAAGGCAACTACAACAACAAAGAATTTCAGAGGATGAAATCTGAGCCTGAATTTTTCCCACTGTTGAATACTGAGGTTTTTTTGTTTTTTAATAGGTTGTCATCATTACCAAAGCTTAGTTTATGTTGTTGATTCAATGACCTATAAATCGTACCTTCAACTTGTAAATTCAGAAGTTTATAAATCAAGACTTATTTATACTTGTGTTCTACATGAAAATTGTCTTTCCAAGTTGGTTTTTCAGACTATACATATCCCTAGTTTCAAGTTAATTAAAAGTATGAGATAGAATTCAGAGTTTTAGTTTTAATAGCTATCAAGTGTTTCTCATTGTTTATTTTGGCCTCCGAAAAATTATCTTATTTTGAGAAAGTGTTTAATAATTTCCTGCTTTGTTTTTTTTGTTGTTGTTGTTTGTTTGTATGTTTGTTTTGGTGAGGGAGGTTTATTTGTTTATTTTTAAAGGAGGTACTGGGGATTGAACCCAGGACCTCATGCATGCTAAGCATGAGCTATACCCTCCCCTGGTAATAATTTCCTGCTTTGAATTTCTTAAACCATTTCCAAACTGTTTTTAGGGAGTAATATTTTTCAGCATTAAGACACTATTAAATTGTACACCATTGTAGTGGAATTTTTAAATTCCTTAACTTGTCCTTTAAGTCACATGCATATTTGAAGATTACTGCATAATTAGTTAAAAGCAATATTATCATTAGGATAGATGTAACTTCATGTATATTGATTTTATTTTTTTTTAACATTTTTTATTGAGTATTAGTCATTTTACAATGTTGTGTCAAATTCTAGTGTAGAGCACAATTTCTCAGTTATACATGAACATATATATATTCATTGTCACATTTTTTTTTCACTGTGAGCTACCATAAGATCTTGTA